GGGGACCTTGGGGTAGGGTTGAAGTGGGGAGGGGAGAGGCAGGGAGGGGAGCAGAGAAAAATGCAGAGCTCAATAACTATTAATTTAAAAAAAAAAAACTAAGTTGGGCGGTGATGTTGCACGCCTGCCTTTAATCTCAGCACTCTGGAGGCAGGTGCAGGCTGATCTGTGTGAGTTCAAGGTCAGCCTGGTCTACAGAGCTAGTGCCAGGACAGACTCCAAAGCTACAGAGAAACTTTGCCTTGAAAAAAAAGGTGGAGGTGGCTGGAGAGATGGCTCAGAGGAATAGTGCACTGGCTGCTCTTCCAGAGGTCCTGAGTTCAATTCCCAGCAACCACATGGTGGCTCACAACCATCTGTAATAAGATCTGGTGTCCTCTTCTGTACTGCAGGATACACGAAAGAAGAAACCTATATACATAATAAATAAAAATCTTTAAAAACAAAAGGTGGAAAGAGACCAGGAAAGACACCACACGCACACACACAAACACACAAACATGTGCAGAGTGGGGAAGCGTGATGCATTTATTAATAATTGACCTTGGGTGACGCAGGACTGACACATTGATTCCTGGATGGAAAGGGGTGTGCCCAAACACCAATGAGGTTGTCTGTAAAAATGTCCAAGGATCAAAGGGCTCCTATCCTGCGGACCACGCTCGATGCTGGGCTGGCCTGATGAATGAACTACCAGCTCTAACGGAACCGACGGAAACTCTGTGGCCCGCGTTTCAGGATGAAGCCATATGCGTGGCGGAACTGGCGGTTCATGGCTGCGTAGAGTACCGGGTTGATGCAGCTGTTGAGCCAAGTGAGGTTGGCAGCCACCATGTGTACTAACCGCGGAGCGCGGCCCCTGGCGTCCAAAATGTTGACCAGCAAGAAGGGGATGTAGCTGAGGACGAAGCAGAGGAACACCGCGAAGCACATGCGCGTCACCTTTCCGAATTCCGATGGGGCATCCGGGGCTCTGCGCTCTCCTGCAGTTTCCCGGACCCTATGATGAGCTTCAGGAAGGCCTCTCTCTACAATATGCTGGGTTGTCTTTCTGGTGCCCTGGTCCCCTGCTTCTGACGGGTCACCTTCCAAGGTCTGCGTGGTCGAAGCACTGACTGACACAGATGAAATCCCCTCACTGGGTCCTTTTGAGGCAAGCCCGCTGTCTAGCTCCTGGAAGTGGCCAGGCATGGCCTCATCTGTCCCAGCCACCTGGTGAGAGCGGATGCTGTCCCTCTGCAGCCTGTAGTGGTCTAGCGCTCGAGCAGCACGCTTCACTTGGCGGTGGATGAGGCAGTAGAAGACGCCCACACTGCTGAGCCCAAGCACAAAGAAGATGCCCATGAGGATGGTGGTGTAAGGCCGGCCTCGCACGCGGTCAAAGCTGCAGGTGCAGACCAGTGGCACCAGGACAAACACATGCCAGAGTGGGGCAAAGCTTGCCACCCCCACAATCCAGCTGCCCACCAACGCCAGAACGATCCCCCTGGCGCTGAAAACTTGGGGAAAGAGCTTAGGATGGGCGATAAGGAGGTAGCGTCCTAGAGCAATGAGACAGAGGGTGAGAATGGAGACAGAATTGGAAGTAAAGAGGAGGAGCCCGAATATTCTGCAGAAGATGTCGCCAGTGCGCCAATGGAGGTGGAGGTATGTGTCTACGGAGAAAGGCTGCAGGAGCGTGCAGTAGAGTAGATCAGCCAGGGTGAGGTTGGCAATGAGTAGGTTGAAGCGGGTTCGGAGCTTAGGACGAATGGCCAATGCCAGCAGGGTGAGCACATTGCCCACGGTGCCTGTGACAGCCACTACCACGCCCCAGATAACAGCAAAGTAACGATAGCCCAGCACGGACTGGTGGTAACAGGAGAAGTTGGTATCCGAGGCGTTCCACATGGTGGAGGCTGAAGGGAGATGAGGGGGAGACGGAATGAGAACTTGGTGTTTGTCTTGCCTTGAATGAACAGCTTTGTCCCTCACACCCATTCTGCTCCTAGAATTCACTAGAATTCACGGTTCTGGAAAGCCTTTCCCATGCCACCTCAGCTCAAAGTTCCCAGCTCTCTCCTTAGGCTCTCTCTGACCTTTCTTTCACATTCTTAGACTTCTTTCCTAAATTCTTTTTTGTTGTTGTTGTTGTTGTTTTGTTTTGTTTTTGTTTTTTCGAGACAGGGTTTCTCTGTGGCTTTGGAACCTGTCCTGGAACTAGCTCTGTAGACCAGGCTGGTCTCAAATTCACAGAGATCTGCCTGCCTCTGCCTCCCGAGTGCTGGGATTAAAGACGTGCACCACCATCTCTTTTGGACACCTGTTAATTCTCTGTTTCTCTCAACCCCAGACCCCTCCAGGATGTGTGGAATTCTTCCCACTCTGCCCATAATTCCTTCTCCCTTCCTGAAGATCAATCAGGAGTCCCTTGTCCTCTGCTCCTCCTTCTGCACAAGTGAGCATTCATCTTTCTTTTTGTTCTTTGATTGTATTGTTATGTAGCTCAGGCTGCCTCAACTCACAGTGGTTCTCTGGCCTCAGGTCTGTACCAGTATTCTCCTGACCTCAAATGTTCTGATTGTAACTACCTGGAAAATGAGAGAACTAAGTAAGACTGTTTAACACACACACACACACACACACACACACACACACACACACACACGACATGCTCACCTGAGATTCCTGGTGTTCACACTTGTCTTCAGTAAACAAAGTCCAGCTCACTTAAAGTGCAGGCCTTCCTTGGGGCAGTCAGACTTCCAGTCTTAATGGGAAATAACCAGGCTTCCAACTGGACATATAATGCTTCTACCATGTTAGGCCGAAAGAGTAAGAAACTCCCTAATTACCCAACCGTAGCCACTTCCTCCCCCACCTCCAGCCAGTCCTAGTAATTTTATCTTGGCTACTGAAGTCCGAGCTTCTCTGCTGAAATCCCCTGCAGCCTCCTCCAGAGTTATTTCATTCTTCCCTTTGTGCTTCCGGAACCCAAACGATGTTTCCTTCCGCTCTGTGTGGCAGGTCCTCTATAAGGTCATTGCTGAGAACTGTTGATCAGGGAGACAATGTCAGATCCTCCAGGCCACTTCTTTTTTTGTTTGAGACAGGGTCTGACTCATTATCCCAGTCTGCCCTAGAACTCATAGAAATGCCCCTGCTTCAGCCACTTGAGCACTGTGAGTATAGGCATGAGCTACCACACCTGACTGGACCACTTCTCTAGAGGTCAGAAGCCAAGAGCATGTTCTAGAAGCAATGGTAGAAACACTGAGTTTAAAACCCAGAGAGCTAAGGTTTGTTTGCAATAGCACGTCCTTTCTTCTCTTCATGGTCTGGAGATGGTTTACATCAGCACATCTGAGAAGTGGAGTCAGATAAAAAGATGTGGGTTTAGGACTGGAAAGGGGGCTCAGCCCGTAAAGCCGTGCCATGGCCTGAGTTGTGTTCCAGGACCTATATGACAGAAATAGAGAATCAGCTCCTGCAAATTGTTCTCCAAGTTCCATACAAGTTCTGTGGGGTGTGTGCATCTACAAACACACACACACATAAATTATGTAGCCTGGCTGACCCGGAGCTCACCATATAGATCAGGCTGTCTTGGAACTCACAGATATCCACTTGCTTCTGCCTCCCAAGTGCTGGGATTACAGGTGGGAACAGGAGCTGGTGGTGCAGGCTAACACTCACTGTTTCTCAAGAGGATCTCAAAACATGCCAGAGTTACACAGTGAGTTCTAGGCCAGTCTTGGTAATTTTAGTGAATGAGAATTTATCTCCAAATAAAAAGTAAATTTAGAGGGCTAGAGAGATGGCACAGTGGTTAAGAGCACTGTTTGATCTTCCAGAGGTCCTGAGTTCAATCCCCAGCAAGCATATGGTGACTCACAACGATCTATAATGAGATCTGGTATTCTTTTCTGGCAGGCAGGTAGAATACTGTATACATAATAAATAAATCTTTAAAAAAATAAAGTAAGTTTCCTTTTTTTTTATTTTTTGAGACAGGGTTTCTCTGTACCTTGGGAGCCTGTCCTGGAACTAGCTCTTATAGACCAGGCTGGCCTCGAACTCACAGAGATTCGCCTGCCTCTGCCTCCTGAGTGCTGGGATTAAAGGCGTGCGCCACCATCACCTGGCTTCCTTGATACTTTAAAATAAAAAGCAAATTTGACTGGTTGTTGTTGGTACAAATCTTTAATCCCAGCACTTGGGAGGCATAGGCAAATGGATCTCAGTGAGTTTGAGGCCAGGCTGATCTACAAACTGAGTTCTGGGTCAGCCAGAGATGTTACATAGAGAAACCCTGCTCAAACAAACAAATAAAAACCTTACCACCACCACCAGAACATAAACTAATCAATTAATTAAATTTGGCTGAGGATATAAGTACAGCATTTGCCCAGAATGTACAAGGTCCCAGGTTCTAGTCCCAGAGCTGTTTAATCCAAGTACATACCTGTAATCCCAACACTCAGGAGGCAGAGGTAGGTGGATCAAGGATAGCCTGGTCTATGTAATGAGTTTCAGGACAGCCAGGTCTACATAGAGAAACCCTGTCTCATAAAGCCATACCAAAACAAAATAAAACCATAGTTGCTTAAGTAGAACCAGGTTGTTGATTCCTGCTTGCAATCCCAGGTCTAATGAGTTAGAAGCAGTAGGCTTCCTGGCATTTTGAGGTCAGGAAGGGAACAGAGACTTTGTTTCAAACACAATGATGACTTCTGTTTTGTGTTGTTTGGTGGGGCTCTTAATCATTGAGACTGGAGAGCTAGGGTGTGGCTCAACAGTACAATACCTAGGGTTCAGGTCCTAGCACCAAAAGGAAAGAGTATGGAAGGAGGACCAGGCTTAGGGAGAGGGGTGCATGATAGATTTCGTTTTGAAACACCAAGTTTGGGGCATATCAGTTTCCCATCCTCTCCAGCTCATCTCTCTGATCCCTCCCTGTCAGCCTCCTCACACCGGGCCCAGCTACTGTTTTCCACCCATTTAATTTTTTTCGTTTGTAAAGTCTGTTTATTTATTCTGTGTGTGTATGGCAGGAGAGTGAGGAACCTGCATGCCACAGTGTAGATGGATCACTTGGGGGAGCATCAAGAACGAAAGTCCTTAGAGTTGTAATAAGTTCCCTTACTGAGTGCCTCCTTCCTCCATTTCTTCCTCTAAAGGGCCACCTTTGCCCTCTTCCCTCACAACCTTTCATGTCTGTTTCTAACAGAATTATTTACGTGTATGGGTGTTTTGTCTGCACGTCTGTGCACTATGTGCATGCCTGGTACCCTGGGAGGCCAGAAGAGGGTTTCAGGTACTTAATTGCCATGTGGGTGTTGGACATTGAACACAGATTCTCTGAAAGAGAAGCAAGTGCTCTTAACCACTGAGTCATTTCTGTAACCCTGGTCTCTTCTGCCTTTTTTGAGTTGCAAAGTAGAAAAACCTATTTGATGTACTGGGGCTCTACTTTGGTTGATAAACCCAGGGGGCCTATTCCTGTCTCCTTCCTCTTTCAACCACATCCTACCCTCCCTCCTGTCTTCTGCAAGACTGGGAAGTGGGGAGAGAAGTGAGAAATCCGGGGCCCAGTGCAGACTCTGGGTTTGAGTTTGGCTTTTGTTTTGGTTTACTAGTCCACCACCCTCTAGAGCCGGAAGGCATGAGGGGATGGGGTGGAGAGGTGTGTCAGTTACAGTGTTGGGGCTGGATTCTGCGGTTGAAGAGGTACCTTCCAAGACACCAAGTGCCCCAAGACACAGGCCACTTGGGTCCTGACGAGAGAGTACGGTAGCAGATCTGTAGATGGCACAGCCTCAGCCTCGGTGGGCTTGGATACAGGAGGTTTCAAAGGATCCTGCTTGCTGGTAAAAAACTCAGGTTCATACAGGACAGAGATCCGGAGTCAGTATATGAAGCCCATCCCTGCTTCCTCTGTCTGTTTTGTTGGTGTGGGTTCCTAATATGGTCAGAAAAGCCTGGGTTCTTTCCTTAGTCTGGGTATAGACCCCGCTCCCTAGAATCGCGAGAAACACGAACGGAATGGAAGACTCTTTTTCTGCGTTCTTAGCGCCGCCTTGTGGAGTTGCAGCGAATTCTCAACAGCCTCAGCTGCAGTCCCCGAGTGGAACTCGAAAGGATTTCCTCTGGCCAAGTTTACACTAACTAGGTTAGGACTGAGACTC